GGCGGTACCCCGGCCCAGCATCGACAGACCCCGCGGCAGCAGCAGCAGCAGCAGCAGCCGCCGCCGCCGCCGCCGCCGCTGTGATTGTGGCTGGGCCTGGGCGAGGCGCCTGCCGCGCGGTCGACCGGCTGGCTAGGGGTGGCCGATCCGGCGCCGTGGCAGGCCGACTGCAGGGCGTCCAGCCGGGCGGCAATGCCCCTTGCGAGGGGATCGGCCGGCGCCAGGCCCTCGGCGGCGGCCAGCTCGGCCGCGCACTGGAGGACCTTGCGCCGAAGCCCGGTGGCCGGGGCCCCGCCAGCGTACACGGCATCCATCGCACGGGAGAGGCTGCACATGCATAGAGGTGTATGTGCGTGTGCGTGTGCGTGCATGTGAGTGTGCGTGTGTGTGAGAGAGAGAGAGAGAGAGACAGAGCAAACGCCCAGGCGCATGCCTGGCCGGGAGAAAAGTGGCACGGCGAGCACACGGCAGCGCCACGTACCGCGCAGCCAGCCACCGGCCGCCAGGACCATGTGCCAGGCCCGGCCGAGCGGCATGGTGCGCCAGGACATCGAGGCCGAGCCCGAGCAGGCCCGGGCCAAAGGCCGCCGGCCGGGCCGACCCAGCGAGCCACCCGAGGCCGACACACGGCCCGGCCCCCGGGTCCGACTGTGACAGGGCCGCCGCCAGCAGGGCCGCTCCCCGGGCCCGGGGGCTGGTCGCCGCCGCCAGGGCCGCACGACAGAATGGACACCCGGCGCCCGGATCCGGGCCCGGGAGCCCATGCAGCCGAAGCACATCCACCGCCGCCCAGAAGAGGGCCCCCGGCGGCCAGCCATCCAGCGCGGCCAGGGTCACGGCGGCCGGCACGGCGGCCGACCAGCGCCCCTCCTCCAGTCCCCCCCGGAGCAGGCGCACCGCCGCGTGCCCAGGGCCCGGGGAGTCCCCCCGCGCCTGGAGCACCGGGCCCCGGCAGGTGCAGCATGCGACCGCGCACTGCCGCACGAAGCAGTCCACCACCGACCGGCAGCGCGCGGCTCCGGCCGCCGGGCCGTCGCCGAAGACCGCCGACCCGCGCTCTTGCAGCACCCGGTGCAAGGCCTCCTGCGGCTGGCCACCGCCCAGCCCGAGCAGCGCCATGACCAGGCCCAGGCGCAGCACCAGCGCCCAGAAGCCCGGCCGCGCCAAATCAACGGCCGGCCGGGGGCCACGCCCCAGCGCCGCCACCGCCATCAGCGGCCCGGCCCAGGGGAACGCCCCGTGCACCTGGTCGCGGAGGATGGACCGTGCCACCGACAGGGGGGCCCCCGGCCCGGGCCAGGCCGCCACCAGCACGGTGGCCGTCGTGTCCAGCACCGGGCCCGCGGCCAGGAGGAGCCCCTCGGCCGTCCGGCCAGCCGGGACCCGGCACGCGGCACAACAGCGGCCACCGGCCTCGGCACCGGCCAGCATCCGGCCCGACCCGAGAGCCGCGCCAAAGAGCAAGCTCGCCGCGGACAGGGACCTGCCGGGCTCGGGAGGCTCGCTCATGCGCGCGTGGGCAAGGTCCTGCCCTCGTCCCTACACAGGCAAACACCGGGCGACAGGGTGGGGACAGGGAGAAGGAGAGAGAGAGAGAGAGAGGAGGAGGAGGGAAAGTGTGGACGCGCGTGCGCGCAGGCAGGGGCACAAACAAAAAGACAGACAGAGAGATGTGCGGCAGAGCGAGACCACCGCTCGGGCCGGGGCGCAGCTCGCCGAAAGGGCCAGCCGGCGGCCGGCAGCGGGAGGGCCAGGGCGGGAGGGGAGCCACAGGGCAGGGGCCCCGGTCTGCGGGGGAGCCGCGGTGGCGCGCGAAAAGCACGATCGGGGACCGTTGGCAGCTGCATCCCGCGATCGGGGCGTGTACGTGCGTGTGTGTGTGTGTGTGTGTGTGTCTGTGAATGTGTATTGTCTGTCTGTCTCGCCCTCGGTCCCCCTCCGGTGGGGCCCGTTCGGGCGACCGCCGCCGGAGGGGCGCGAGGGCAAGGATGCGCGGCATCGGCGTCGGGGCACACGCACAGGGGGGGGGGGGGG